CTACTACTACTACTGCTGCTACTTTCTTCTTATTACGATGACACAACTCCTGCTAGAGATATGTGCAACTGGAAGCCGTCACGGCCAGACTAATTGTCTGACTTGCCAGAAACTAAAGACCGGCGCGACGCCTAAGGTGGGGGGAAATTCAGATGTTGACATACATGCTGACAGGCCCCGGAGAGCTGTACTAAGGAATATACCTTGAATTATGGGGCCTCACTGAGAAGTAGATTCATATTCCTTAATTAAGGGCTGCTGGGCTCTCTGGGGAACTCTGACACTCCGCAAGATGTGCAACCGGAACACGACCATGCAACTGGCTCAATTCAGTGGTAGCACTGCCTGGGGAATATGACCCAGAAAGCCCAATACCCCTTANNAACCACAATATTAAGGCCCCTATATTTAAAGGTATATTCCTTGTTTAAGGGGTATTGAGTTCTCTGGGGACGGTTGAGGGCTCAGGGCTGGGATACGAGCCTTGAAAGCACAAATCGGTTTAGGGTTTAGGGTATAGGGTTTAGGGCTTAGGGTTTCGGGGTTTAGGGTTTAGGGGTTTAGGGTTTACGGTAGCCTCAAAGACCACTTGTCTGGTCCAGGGCACTCCGTCATGGAAGTGCTCGTGTAGACTGCCTGCAGCCACTCGTTTCTCTTCGCCCGAAGAGGGTACCTAAACCCTCAATGCGTTATCAAGTCGTAAACCCTGAAACCCCTTATAGATCCCTTTCAAGGAACCCCCACAACAGAGTCTTGGCTCCTGCTGGCTGCATGTGCTTGCTGGCAGTGCAGGTTGAACGCAGAGGGTCGGAAGAGTCAGCAACATAATTTAGGGTTTAGGGTCTATAGGGTTTTAGGGGCTTAGGGGTTTAGGGGTTTCGGGTTTAGGGTTTACGGTTTTAGGGTTTAGGGTTTTAGGGTTTAGGGTTTTGGGTTTGGGTTTTAGGGTTTAGTACTCTCTTATAGTCCCTTGGGTCGTCCTACTATACTATGCCCCAAAACCCTCGAACAGTTAGCAAGGCACCAGAGACCCTTCAGAACCCTTTAAAGGTACCTATTATTCAATTGCAAAGTCTCCTGCATGATGTAAACTGAGGACCTCAGGATATGTGGGATCCTTATAAACGACACCATCACCCAGAAAGCAACACACTAAACACCCACACGCCTTTAGGTTCAGGGTTGAGGGTGTGTGCGTATAAATAAGTATACATATATATATATATATATATACACACACTTATCTGTCTATCATTTACGATTATTACTTTTGTTATTGCTACTAAAAACTGTTGTTAGCAGTGTTACTAGAAGTTCTGTATATGTATACACATGTATTCATACACATACATACATACATACATACATACATACATACATACATACATACATACATACATCATGCATACATGCGTTCGTTCATTCGTTCATTGATTCATTCATTCATCCATTAATTCATCAATGCATGCATGCATTATTTGTTCATATACATATGCACGCACGCTTACATGTGTCCTAATCTTCTGAACAGCAATAGCTTACAGACCTCTTCTGGTACAGAATCCCTTGAAAGAAGCCATCTCTGATCATTGAGGCCAAGACAGCAAAATTACAGTAACCCCCCATACTGTAAACGTTATAGTAACCCTTACAGAAGCTCAGTTTAGGACCCTTACGCCCTAAATACCCTAAACCCTCATCCCTAAACCCTCAACCCTAAACCCTTAACCCCACACCCTCAACCCTCAACCCAAAGCCTAAACCCGAAACCCTAAACCTGTAAAACCCGAAACCCTAAGAAGCATTCATCCTTCGACCCTTATAGCTGCCCCTATAATCTACGGTTGAACCCATGGGCCCCTAGTATGGGCCCTTAACCCTTTGACCCTAGTATACCTACTATATACCCTATATTTACCCTTAAGGGACCCTAGAATCCCCTAAGGACCCATGTTGGGGGCGCATGGGTTCAACCTTAGATATAGGGAGCCCTCTGAAGGAACCGAAACACCAAACCCTAATGTAGGTTTTAGGGTTTAGGGTCTGGGGTTTAGGGTTTAGGGGTATATTGTATGATAAACAGTTAATATAATAAGGACCCCTTTCCAGATAGTTTAGGTAATTATCAAGGGCCCTATCGCAAACCATAGAGCGCGCTGTAGAAACCTGAGGTGCGCCTCGGCCGACTTCACCTTAGCCTTGCCCTGCATCCTGGCGCCAGCAAACTTTAGGGTTTAAGGTCTAGGGTTCAGGGTTTAGGGTTTAGGTCTTTAGGGCTTTAGGGTTTTAGGGCTTTAGGGTTTTAGGGTTTAGGGCCGGGGAAATTACGGGAATCCTTTGAAGGGGCTTTCGGCTTTGTCGGGCATAGGGTTCAGGGGGTACTACAAGTAGAAGGGTACTATTCGGGTTACTATAAGGGCTGCTATAGGGGCTACTATTGGATAAGGTCTGGGATTGAGGCTCGTTGGGGTTTGCAGGTTTAGGGGTTAGGGCTTCTGGCTTCCGGTCCAGGTTTTGTGGTCTATTGGAGGCTTTTTGGCCTCAAGTGTCAGGATTTAGGGCGTTAGTTGGACTCTTTGCGGCCAAAGGATTTAGGCTTTCTTAAAAATGTTGCCCCTTCGGTGCAGGCTCAGTTTTCAGCGTCTAAAGGTCTGGCTGGCTGGCCTGCCGTCTGGCAGGATGTCAAATTGGCTTTTAGGGTCTAGGGCTCTAAACCCTAAACCCTAAACCCTAAACCCTAAACCCTAAACCCTAAAGGGTTTAGGGTTTAGGGCTTAAGGTTGCCCTGGCTGTTGTTTAAGATTCCAAGCTATGCTGCAGGGTGCAGGGTCCTTGCTTTTCAGGGCCGGGGGGAATACGAGTCCTGGCACCAGGGGTTCTACAAAAATCTCCATTGTAGTTCCTTTTTGGGGTTACCTTCTAGGATCCTGAATATAGCAAAAGGACACGAGACTGTAGGTATACATGGTGCAGCGCTGCTAGCCCCTTCCCCCCCTCACCCCATGGTATTCCCCCCTCCCCCTGTGGTTCCTTGTGGTGTGGGTTCCCCCCTGTCCCTCCCTCGAACATGTTGATCATGATCCCCATCCGCACGCTCCTTCGGTCCCTTGCTCAAGACTGCTGACTCAAAGTCATTGACGCGCATGCTCGGGTTGACTTCTAAAGTACCCAACTGAAACCGAGCATAGAATGACAGCCGTCGACACAAACTACGAAAATCTACACAAAAGAACATCAAGCCAAACAAAATTTGAAACTAGTTAAAAAAAGAACATGCGGTATCTAAGGGCAGAACAGCAGAACTAAGAGCACTGGTGCTACCAAGAGTCACACTCGGAATACGAGCATGCACGAAGCACATCATCGTCAATAATCTCAACATCATCGCCATCATTCTGATCTGTGTGGGGAGGGGGTGTGCGCGAGTTGGCGCGATAGTTTCACAAGAACGTCGACAGGGTTTAGGGTTTAGACACAGGCCAGCACCATCCCCGTGACTTTTTGCTCGGATGAAAGGCCTGGCTTGGCTGCTGCGGGAGAGGGGGAGGGTATAGGGTTTAGGGTTTTAGGGTTTAGGGTTAGGGCCGCTTTAGGGTTTAGGATGAGGGGGGCGGAGCACTGATGCGGCGACGCAGGACCATACATTGGGCGCCCCTTGTGGGAGCATGGGTGCTGATAGTACTGTGACAATTCAAGCAACCGTAGTCGGACTTGTAGCCACAGTAGCAGTACTTGCGACCCTTTGTTTATCCACGCCAGTACTTGCGACCCTTTGTTTATCCACGCCTACACCCAGAACCCTTAACGGCCTTGATCTTCAAGCATACTGTTAGGGCCTGAATAATTAGAATAGGGTTTGGGGGTAAATTAGACTATAATATTATAATAAGGGACCCCCAAAATAGTAGAGGCAATTATCTTGGCACTGAAATTACCCGCCAAGACCCCAAACCAAAGCTCTTCCGAACCCCACAACCAAACATCACCATGAACCCGTGGTTGAAGTCATATCAGGACGCTTGTGTTGCTGGGGTTGGGGTTTGGGGTTTATAGTTTCGAAGGTTGTAAGTGGGACTTCTGCGGCGCTCGCCAAGAAAATATTCACCGGAATATTCAACCACCTCACTCCACCCTAACCCTCACTCCAAAACCACACTCGAAGCCTTGAAACCTGAACCCTAAACCCTAAACCTACATTACTTACACCGGCCTCAGATTGGGATACAGGTCGAAGGAGCCCTGGCTGATCACGAAGAGCTCGTGCCTGGTCTCGTGCTTCTAGCAAGGACCGTACATAAGGGGTTTAGGGTTTAGGGTCTAGGGTTTAGGGAAGCAGACATGCGCATAAACCCTAAACCCTAAACCCTACTTATGGAGGTTCATGGGTAGTTATAAGTGGGGTTATAAGTAGGATGCTTGTAACCCATATTAGGGGACTTATAACTCCGCTTAAATCTACCCCTGAGCCTCCAAGTATACCCTAAACCCTGAAACCTAAATCCTAAAGCCCCTAAAGCCCTTATAGATCCCTTTAAAGGTAGATCCCTTCAAAGGAACCCTAAACCCTAAACCCTAAAACTACAGCAAGGAAGCACATCCAACCCTAAACCCAAAACCCTAAACCCTAAACCCTCCAACTTCTGCAGATGAGAAACGCAAACCTACGGAGGCCTTGGCCCTGGAGCTCCCAAACCCCTCAAAGCGTTTTGGGTTTGGGGGTAAGGGGTTTAGGGGTAAGGGGTTTAGGGTTTAGGGTTTAGGGTTTAGGGTTTAGGGTTTAGGGTTTAGGGGTTTAGGGTTTAGGGGTTTAGGGTTTAGGGTTTAGACCTTTATCACACCCTACTTTCGGGTTGATGGTACAGCCCGATAAAACTATAGCTCGCACATCCACCCTAAATCTTAGAAGCGCATCACAGGCTGCTTCTAAGTATGCTTCTTCGCTGCCGGGGCACGAGTAAAGGAGCTAAATAAATCCTGGTAGATTCCTTCGCTGAACATGTTATCGGCAGCCTCAAGCAGCCCTAGGAGGGGCCCGGCCCAAAACTTGGAAAAACTTAGTGTT